CAGTCTGAAACCTGGGCAGTGGTCTACCCCATATTTCAGTTCTCAAGGCTTTGATATGCTATTTGAGGTTAGTCCCACAAATGCACATCTTGGGGGTGACTCCAGTTCACACAACTTTATGAGTTTGTTTCCTTGAGCTCCGTTCTCTCCAATCTTCCTAACATGTTCCAACTCAGAGACCCCTCCTCCCTATCTTCTGGGTAGAAAGGTGAGGGAATTAGCTTTTCTGTTCTGCTGTGCATTTCCTATGAACCTCTTGGGCCAAGTAGCGAAAGGATAGAGAGAAAAAAAGCAACAGGATTCCCCATATGTTCTCAGAAACAGTTCCTCTGGTCAGAGGGTGGTTTTCCTCCCTTGGAATTTTAGGCACTGGCCCAGCTGCCTCTGCTGTTACCGCCATTGCTGCTATGGGATTGTTGGGGGCCTCTCTGATAAAATGTCTCACTTTTCTAAGATTCTTTTCTTTAAGACTTCTTTACGCTCCTAAGGTTATGGTATCAGTTGACAATCTTCCATATGCTTTCCAGCTTCCAAAAATTTGACGTGTTTTTCTACTATTTCCCCTTCCCTTCTCTCTGTTCTTTTGATTTTATACTTCCTTTCCTTTACTGTCATTTTAATGGGATTTTAGGAAGGAACAGAATTAAGCACTGTATGCATTCACTAGTCTGTGTCTCTTCACTTTTCTGGTCATTCTGCTCCTTGTTTAGTTATCCTATGTGGACCCTCCCAGTTTTGTTATCACACCTCCATCGTAATTGTCACAATATGTAGATTTCTGAAATGTGCTAAGTTATCTTTAAAGGTAGTCAAGACTATGGATAACTGTTGTTGTCAGTTTCTACCTATACTCAGGGGAGTTTCCCTCTCAAATATTAGCAGACAGAACACATTTCCATTTTGGATTCCTTTCCTTCTAGAGACTCAGCCTGAAACCAAAGAGTCAATTCCACAATGGGACATTGCTGCAATTATATTAATATACTATACAATAAAGGAAAATTCACAACTGTTGATGAAGGCAGTTGTAACAGCAGCTAAAATGTATTTACATAATAGTATGTGAATTATTATTATCATCAACAGTTAATAGGTCAATCAAGATCTGTTCTAAACACTTTAAACATATTAATTCATTGAATGGATGATTCTTTGTACAACCTTTAGAAGCAGCCTGGGAAGCTCATGAATAGTGAGTTGATGGGTGGGCATTTTTTCAAGCAAGCAGAGAACTTTTCTACAAATTTCAAATATGCTGAGCCATAAAACAAATTTCAACAAATTTCTAAAGGATTAGAATCATATAGGATATGACCATCATACTAATAATTGATTCAATGAAGAATCATCAATGGATATTAAACTTTTGATGTGGAATGGGATTCTATTTTGATAATTTGAAAGCATTTCCCCACATACTACTGCTTAATTACAAAGAGAAAAGTGTTCTCCCCAGTGGAGAAACCTGGAAAGTGCCACTTTAATGAGGTGATTAGTTATCATCACCAATAGGTCAGAGCCACATCATGCACCCCGACATAATGCCTGAAGATATATTATATAGCATTTCTGTCAAAAATTCATTAATGCAAAGATACATATTCTGAACCGAATTATGAGGAAACCTTTAACAAACTAAATTGAGTGATATAATTCATTGCATTAACAGATTAAATAAGAAAAATCATATTATTTAGACAAATTTAAGAAGAGTACAGCAATGTAGACACAAATCAGAAAAGGAATGCAAAAAGATTATTGGACATATGATCTCTCTCATATATTGAGGACCTCCAAAGAATTTTATAAAAGGGCTCCAGCAGGGAACCAGCCAAGTGCAGAGCGCAGTGTGGCAAGACCATGAGTTATCATGCAAGTAGGAACTTGATCTCTTTTTCTCTCCAATATTTAAGCTCACCCACGAAGTATTCAGAAACCAGGGACAGCAAGCTGAGAGACGAGAAAGAGGACTGGAAAGGCAGATGCCATCCTGTGTGTTCTTTCCTCATCTGCCATCTTACCCACCTTGCAACACGCCTGAGCTAAGGGAGGGGAGAAGCCCCATCTGTGAACAATGCTTATGGTTTTGCTTTCTACATAGGATTCAAAGTCAGGGCATGGTTTGCACGTGATTTCATCCAGGGTCAGAGAAAGTATTTGTTTCACCAAAAAAATTTAATGGGACAGTGCCAGACAAGAATGAATCTGCCTTATCATCCCCCAAGTTGTGACTACTCATTACAATTTACATACTTCACCCCAACTCCACTGTGGCTGGAAGTTGGCAGGCAATCTTGGTTCCACCAGCCACTACCTGAACTTTGGAGGTGGAGAAAGCAAGCATAATGGGGTGAGCATCATAGAGTGGACTTACACAAACCTAGACAGTACAGCCTACCACACACCTAGGCTACAGGGTACTAATCTTACAGGATCACCAGCCGTTATGCAGTCTGTCGTTGACGGAAACATTGTTATGTGGCACGTGACTGTCCTGTGTCAAGCACCATTTGAGGAACAGTGTATGAGCTTTTATCTGCATACTTGTGGTATAGCTGGGCCTTTATCCTTACTACTTTCTTCAGGGTTGTGCAGCCCATAAGCCTGATTCCTTGGTCTCCTGAAAATTCTTCAAATTACAAAATAGCCTTTATTAAATCCCTTTCTGCTTAAAATATATAGAATGGATTTTATCTACAATTATCTTTCTCTATTTCACCAATAAAGAGACATCAATGAATAAACTGTATAAAAATACAACACAGATAAAAGAATTGGATCAGTATTTTTCAATAGTTTTAGATCCTACATCTCGTCAATAAAGAAAATTACAGAAAGATGTGTCACCACTTGTTACTTAGAACCCCATAATACCATGTGCCATCTGTGTGTGCACCTAAGCACTGGTTTTGTAGATACCAGGCGCACTGTAGACACAGGGAGGAGAGCAGGACTGAAGAAAGGAACAGAGACTTCGCCTGTTTCTGAAATGATTTCCTTCTCTTACAAAATTTTAATCAAGAGACAGTAAGATGCCTAATTATTACATAGTGGTTACACAGGTGCTGTTTTTCTGTATTATTTTATTCACTCAAGAATATTTAAAACCATGAAATAAGATAGAAGAAAATTTAGGAAAATGAGGTGAGAGAGACAATTCAGGAACAAAACCAGAAAACTAGATACTACACAGCAAAAAAGATTATTTAAAACAGGGGTCAGCCAACTGCAACCTGTAGGCCAAATGTGGCCAGTTGCTTATTTTTGTAAACAAAGTGTTATTGGAACCCAGCGATGCCCATTTGCTTACAGGTCAGGATTTCTCAGCTTCAGTGCTAGTGACATTCTGGACGGATAATTCTCCTGTGGGGGGCTGCACTATACACTGGAGGATGTTGAGCAGCGTCTCCAGCCTTTACCCACCAGATGCCAGCAGCACCTCCCTTCATAGTGACAACGGAAAACGTTTCCTAGGGTTGGGGGCAAGGCAGGCAAAATTAGCCCTAGTTCAGAACCGCTGGTTTCTGTCGTCCGTGTTTTCACCCTACAAAGGTGGAGGAGAGAATGTATGACCACAAAGCCTAAAATATTTACCATCTGGCCCTTCACAGAAAAAGCTTGTTGACTCCTTTTGCCATAAAAAGGGAAAAGATAGATGTTAGACGAAGCAAACAAACTACAAAGTAAATGACAAAACAACCTCCTTAACAGTTTCTACAAATTACTTCAAAACGACTCCAATTAAAAAAAGGGAATAGATAAAAACAAGCAATTCACGGAAATAAAATTCAAATGACTCTTAGGCATGGTATAATATGCTCAGCCTCACTGGCAATTAAGAAAATGCAGATTGAAGGCATGTTTTTTCTTCACCTAATTGAAAAGGGTTCAGTCCAGGTTGAAATTGTCGGGAATGGACATATAGTCCTGTAGATTAACGGCAAGTTTCAGAAAGTAGTAAGGCATTAACTTGTACGTTGCAAGGCAAGGACTCCAACTGGGAGCAATCCACCATTCTACAGAAATAAACACACCAACGTGCAACAACACATCTGTAGTAAAATTATTCTTGTACGATTACTTGTAAAATAACAAGCCTGAACTTTCATTGGTAGAATGAGCTGCATATATTATAGTTTGTCTTTATTATGTAAGAATCTAAAGCTAAATAGTTATGTCTGTAGGTACTGACCGGAAGGATGTCCATGTTATGTGGCCAAGTAAGGAGGGCGCATTTCAATGTGTAAGACAATCTCAATTAAACTACCCCCTGCCTCCCAACACACACACTGTCACCAAAACAAACCTCCTAGATGTGTGAAGGCATGGAAGGCTTCAGAGAGTAAGTGTGGATATGTCTATTTTTCCTTTTTAAACCTTTGCACTATAACCCAAGTTTTTGGTAAAACGTTATATAAATTTGGAAGGGGACTTTCAAGTCTTGAAAACAGAAATATGTACACATGGGCAAAAAATGAAAGAGAACCACCTCAACGTTTATTATAACTCAAAAAAATGTCAGAAACTGTATGAAACCAGTACTATGAACGCACCTAGTTTTGCCTAGCTTTATTCATTCTTCTTCTAAAGGGTACAACTTCTCTAAGTACAACGTTCAAGAAGTGACATAAAGGGGCTGTCCCCGTGGCCGAGTGGTTAAGTTCGCGCGCTCCGCTGCAGGCGGCCCAGTGTTTCGTCAGTTCGAATCCTGGGCGCGGACATGGTACTGCTCATCAAACCACGCTGAGGCAGCGTCCCACATGCCACAACTAGAAGGACCCACAACGAAGAATATACAACTATGTACCGGGGGGCTTTGAGGAAAAAAAGGAAAAAAAAAAAAAAAAAACTTAAAAAAAAAAAAAAGAGCTATTAAGCAAAAAATTAAAAAAAAAAAAAGAAGTGACATAAAATATATTCCAGTGCAGATAAAATTTAGTGATCATTTCCCCCTTTTAAAAACTGCTTGAATTTTTATTATAAATTGTCCTCCAACGGGCTGATATTTAGCTATGACTGGTTTATTATGTAATACATGTTTACATTAAACTTGTTTTTATAAAGCATGAGGTAAAAGTGGAATCCACTGGATGGTGATTATTGCAAATGTTAAGAACGTCCACAGACCATGAGGTAGGATTACATGGACAGCTGCAGGCTCTTCACAGCAGATGAGTATGCATATGCTGTAATAGTTTCTTGTCTACTACTTTCAGTGGGTAATAGTTATTTTAGTGTCCAGCTTTCAATGTGTAAACAGTACATTTATATATTACATTTTTTAACAATTGCACAGGTAAAGTCATGATTTAGATTTTAAAACCCTATTTTCTTCTTTCCGTAAATTCCTAGATTTGACTTGCTATTTCAATTGGAATGTTCATATGCTATGAGTACAATGGATTATTTTTATAGCTCATTTGATTTGGATGCTGTCCTTTTACAAATCTGGTAAAAGGGTACAAGGCTTAAGCTAGTCTTATAGCTGTGACTCTTTGTATCTTGAAGACGTAGAAGATTTTATCTGTAGTATCTCTGGTACTAGAGAAATTACATGGTGTAGCTCTAATCAGTTTTTTCGTGGCTCTTACTTTATTCAGGAAAATAATACTTTTCAAAGATTTCAGAAATACTGTAAAAAGCTGAATATAAACATACACTATAAAATGTTGAATGTAAATGAACACTTCCTACATCTCACTGAACAAACGTATACATATAAACACATATATATGTCTAATATTTAAGAAAATGCTTTTCTACAATTTCAGATATACTATAAAAAAGCTGAATATAAACATTTTCTCATCTTACTAAAGTTGAATGTGTGTATATATATATGTATATATGAAAATAATTTTTTCCAGGACTCAGATATATTATAAAAAGATGAGTATAAACTCATAACAGGTACGTACGGAGTTTCTTAATTTCATACAAACCCAGGGACAGGGTAGTTCTGAATTTTTTCACCAGCTCAATAATGTCAAGGACACACGTAATTCCACCCTCTCCCTGTGCCAATTTCAGCCCCTTCCTTTCTGCTTGCAAAATGGCCACAATGCCAGGTATCATACAGACACACAGACGTGCATCCTGTATATAGGAAGACTATTTCCTTCTACTTTATTAGCAAAGAAAACTTAACTGAAGTCCACTTGCAGATTCTTGCTTGGAACTTCTGTGGCCAGGACCGTGATACACATGCCCAGATGCAAAACAAGCTAGGAGAGCCCACATCTGGCACAGACTAAGGTGGGGAGCAGGCAATCCTGGAAAAGGGAGAACAGTTAACACTGATGACAGGCAACCCACGGTGTCTGCCACAACATTGCCTTCTTGAAATCACCTCTGTTTTTGTAGTTTCATATCCTTTCTCATTCATGTACTTGAGTTTTTTCTTTTTAGAGTGTAATCTTTTTTTTTAAAAAAAAAAAAAAGCTTTCAAGGTTTTTTTCTGGCTTTGCACTTATTTTGTTAGACCTTTTCTACATACTCGAATGCCTTTTCATTCTCCCTCTCATTCTTCCCATCAACAAATGTTTACTGGGAACCTACGAGAAACAAGCAGTGCACCAAGTACAGTGAACTGAGAAGGAATCCTGGCCTTTAATTGTTCCTGTTTTCTCCACATATTGAAAGAAGCTAATTTTCCTCAGAGTGCAGCTTTGTTGCATCCTACAAATTTCAACATGTAGTTGTCTCTTTGTCATTCATTCCTAATGGTAATTTGCCTTGATTCCCTTTTTAATATAAAAAGTATTTATACAGGTATCTTTTAAATTTCCTTGTGGAGGAATAGATTTTGGCTAAGGCTTTGTTATTTTGTAATTCTCTAGAAGAGAGGCAGATTGTGGCATACGTCTTGTTTTTGGAAGGTTCTAATAAATCATCTAAATCTTCCCTCTGATCTCCCAGCAACTCCTCTTTATTCTCCTGGGGATATTCCATTGTGAATTCACTGATGGGGAAAAGGGCAACCTATGAAGGAAAACGTCAGTTTTTAATCTTCCTCCAGAAGGAATTACCTAACACTCAATAAAGAAAGGTGTCTTATAGTCACTGACACATAGGCCTTTCTCTCATATGATCTCTAATAAACACAATTATGAAAATAAAGAAAAGTACAATAAAAGCAGCTCCTATTTAACACAACTTCAATACGAGCCTGACACTATTCTAAGGGATATAATGTAATTATTTAATCTTCACAATGCTACTAAGAAATATGGTGCTAATATTACTAACTTATAATTGAGAAAATTTAGACATAGTTAAGTAAATTGCCCTGTAAGAAATGAGTTACAATGGTGAAGGCGAGTAAAGCCTAAACACTGGTTCAATCCTTTCCCACTCTGATTCAGCCCAGGTTAATTTCAGAGAATGAGCTTGCAAATATTTAATGAGATTTGAGTGGGATGGAAGAAGTGCTATATTTTTAACATTAACGTAGCCTTCCTCAAGTAATAATTATCATATGAATAACTTGTTAGCTAAAACAAACTGGTGTCTCATATATATGACACTTTTACTATGAATCCTCTATTTCCCATAAGGGCTAATGACCCTGATGTTGAGCCAAGTTTGAATGACTGTCTTTACCACATTCACTGCTTCCTAAGCCTTCCCACTTTCCTTATATTCACAGAGTTTTCACCAACTGAACTCTCATGTTTAATAAACTCTGAAACACACATAAACCCTCTCCCAATTCTTAACATTTATAAGGTTTCTCATCAGTAACAAAGGTCACATAAATTCTGGCCCTTAAATAAAGGCCTTACATCCACAGTATGAACTCTGATACTGAGTAAGCTCCTATCTTCAAATGCTTCCCCACATTCCTTACAATCACAGGGGTTTTTGTTTGTTTTACTAGCATGACTTTCTGATGTCAATTAAATTCTGAGTCTTCTCCCAAGTCTTCATTCACTCCTCTGTCCCGTATGAATTCTCTGATGTTGACTGAGGTGTGAGCCACGAAAAAAGGCCTTCCCACATTCCTTACATTCATAGGGTTTCTCACCAGTATGAATTTTCTGGTGCCGACTAAGTTCTGAACCACGACCAAAGGCCTTCCCACATTCCTTACACTCATAGGGTTTTTCACCACTATGACTTCTCTCGTGATGGGTAAGTTCTGACCTTCGAATAAAAGCCTTCCCACATTCCTTGCATTTATGGGGTCTCTCACCACTGTGAACTTTTTGATGTCGAATAAGTTCTGTGCTACAAGTAAAGGCCATTTCACATTCCCTACACTTATAGGGTTTCTCACCAGTGTGAGCTCTCTGATGTCGAGTAAGTTCTGAGCCACGACGAAAGGACTTCCCACATTCCTTGCATTTATATGGTTTCTCACCAGTATGAACACTCTGATGTCGAATAAGATGTGAATCAGAGATAAAAGCTTTCCCACATTCCTTACATTTATGAGGTTTCTCACCAGTATGAACTCTTTGATGCAGACTCAGCTGTGAGGCGCAACTATAGACCTTTCCACATTCCTTACATTCATAGCGTCTTTCACCAGTATGGATGATCTGATGAAGACTAAGTTGTGTGTCATAACGAAAAGCTTTCCCACATTCCTTACATTTATGGGGTTTTTCACCAGTGTGGATTCTCTGATGTCGAAAAAGGTGTGAGGGACGGGTAAAGGCTTTCCCACATTCCTTACATTCATAGTATTTCTCATCAGTATGAATTCTTTGATGTAAATTAAGTTGTGAGGTAGATGGAAAGGCCTTCCCACACTCCTTACATTTAAAGGGTTTCTCACCTATATGAATCTTTTGATGTTTGCTAAGTTGTGAGCTAGAATGAAAGGCTTTCCCGCATTCCTTACAATTATGAGTTTTCTCACCAGTACTAATGCTCTGAGGTTTAGTAATTTCAGAGTCATGAACAAAGGCACATTTCTTATTTTCAGTACTTTTTTTGCTTTCATGAATTCTCTGATGCTTAATCAAGTCTGACCTACTATTAAAGGCTTCCCCACATTCTCCACATTTAGAGTCTTCTTCCTTATTATGACTTCTTTCATGTTGAATATGGTGTGATTGGGACCCTAAAGCTTCCTTACATTCCTTGCATTCACAGGACTTTGCTCTGGTATGAATTGTCTGAGGTACTCTATGAACTGTGCACTGAGTGGAAGTGGACCTTTCTTCAGAGGTTATTACAGCTTGTCTGAAATGGCCCTTCTGTTGTCTCTCCAAGTGGCATTTGATTTCTCTGTTATCTCTGACCCTAGTGCACTCAAGGTTAGAGTGTGTAAGTCTTTTTGTTATCTCCTGTTGTAATGATTTAATTTCACAACTGTTCTCCTTTGGAGATAAATTCTTGGTCTCTCTTCTCTTGGACTCCCAATCTGTAAGATAACAAAAACGAAAATAGGAGAGATTTTCACGTTGCAGAAGCAAGGATAGTTCTGAAGTAGAAATAACAAACTAAAAACAGCGAATAATTTAAATACTCTTAACACTGCATTGCAATTTGTAAGAAAAAATAAATAAGGGGGAGGGAAGAATGAGAATAGAGAAAATGAGGAGAGCTTGTGAGGGAAGTGGTTCTTCATGTCAGCTGGGGAACTTGTTAAAAATACGATGTCCAGGAACCACCTAAGACCAACTAAATGAGAATCTAAAGCCTACATTATATCTAACAGAAAGTCCCCTCATCTCTAGCCTCAAAATACATCCAGATTTTCACTACTTCTCTCTATCAGTATCTCTCACCTTGTCCAAAGCCATCCCTCATCAAGATTAACACGACACTATCCTGATGGCTCTCCCTGCTTCCACTGTTGCCCTCTCAATATTCCATACCCGAGACAGTAGTCGGCGTGTTCCTGTTAGAGTAAGTTGGATCATGCCATTCTTCTGCTCAAAACCCTCCACTGGATTTCCCTCTCGTGCAGAGTAAAAGTCAAAGTCCTTATGTGGTCTACAAGGACTTCGCTGAACTTGTCCTGCACTACCCCTTTCTGATCTCGCTGCCCACCTCCTCCCCTCAGCTGACTCTGCTCCAACTGCCTGATCAACTGGATGTTCCACGAACTTGCCAGGCACATCCCTCCTTCAGAATCTCTGCCTGCAAATCTCTTCCCTAAGATGTCAATATGGCTCATTCCATTACTTCATTCCGACCTCTATTCAAATGCCAACGCATACGAACACTCAACAAAACAGGACCCTCATCACTCTACTGATTCTATTTTTGCAGAGTACTTATCATCACGTCATTTTATTTATTTCCCCAACATTATAAAAAATTTCAAACATACAGAAAAATGGAAAGAATTGGACAGTGAACCCCCATATTCCCACTGCTTAAATCCTACAATAACCATTTGGCTCTACTTGCCTTATCACATATCTATCGATCCCATCCATCAATCCATCTTGCAGACATCAGTAAACTTCACCTCTAGACTCAACAGATTCGATTATACTTTAACTTGTTCACTTCTGTATTGTCTGCTCTCCCTTCACTGTACCTGCACTGAGTAAATACTCAATAACTATTTGTTTGATGAATGAATGGCCATTGGTATTTTTATCAATCTCCCTCAGTGATTCTGACGCCATTCAAAGTGAGGGACTCACTGTTTAAATACGGTGCTTCTCCCTGCACTTTATAAGATAAAACATAAAATTCCTTAGCAGACCTGCAAAACTGCACACTATCAGGACCTGCTTCCTTATTCACCTTCATTTTGAAGTGCTCTCTCCTTCATTCACCATGAGCCCACTAGACTGGCCTCTACTTGACTCCTATATCATGCTAATTACTTTCTCATCCTAGACCCTTTCAGGAAATGCTCCATCTCCCATGAATGCTCTGTTCCAGGATCTCTGCATGGCCAGCTTCTCTCATTCTAAATATCTTAATTTTCTGTCAAGTATCCTCTTCTTTGCCCTCCTAATCTATTCCTCAATTCTGGAATTACATGTTTATTAATCAGTTTACCTACTGGTAAAATTTTGCCCAAAGTGGCCTAGAATTAACATAATACTTATTTTACTCACCATGATATAACCAATCCCCAGCACACAGTTCAATTAATGTTAAATAAACTAGTCACTAGATTAAGGGTATTCAGGTGGAAATAAAGGGAAACATGCTAAAGATAATGAAATTAGGAGAGTGACTTGAGAATCAGAGTCATTGCTCCATGCTTTTAATTACTTAACAGGTGATAGAGGAGTCTTCCTGCCTCCAATCCCTCCCAACTTCAGTATGCTCTCCCTACATCACTTCCACGCACCTGGCAGTAACGCACAAGCAAGGCAGCACCATTCGAGTAAATCTGTATATGTGCTGACACCAGGCCCCTAGAATATTGACAGCTTTACACAACAATAAAAATCTTATGTAATTCTGAGAAAATTCTAATGGAAAATGAGGATACTATGGCAACCATTTATGAGAGGTTATATAGTGTTGTGAGGAAGAATACAACTCTACAACCAGAGTGCTTGGGTATGGATCCTCGTCCCATGATGTGCTAGTTGTATGACACTGGACAGTTACTTAACTATTTAGAAATTAAGAATGCTGGTCTGAGACAGGGGAGATGCTTGTTCTCCAGATGCTCAGTTACGGTGTCAGAGTTTTATGCAAGCACCTTGCTGCCTGGGTTATTCCCCTTGCTCTTGTTATGGTTCAGGGTGGTTGGACCAGCCCAGGGCAGGATGCAGAAAAGACACATAGCTGGGAAATCTAGAGAGATGAATAAGCCTGGAACAACTGGTGAGCAGAGAAGATTCTTCTGTGACTAACATATAGTCTGTATCTGGGATCTAACGAAAATGCCACTCACACTGGGGAGGCTATAATTCTGTCCTTGGGAGAAGGGCACTAAGCAAGGTCTACATAGTGATTGGTAAAATGATGTTGGCATTTTATGTTGTATAGGAAGTTCCAGACATCAGATGTCAGAAGACACTATTATTTTAATATTTTGGAAAAACTATCTACGAGAAAATGAAAATTATGCAAAACACATGGATTGAAATAATAATCATGGACCTTAAAGGAATGCTGAAAGCAAAAAAGTAACATCCAGCACAGCACAGGCTCCCACCCCGTACAATCACTTGTCAATGCCAAAGAACCATTCCCCTGAATCGATCTTCAATCCCTCCACTTTCCCTACTCCACGGTCTTATTCTAGGACAAGGCCAAACCATCTGGACCCCACAACAGCTTCCTAACAAGCTTCACCATTTTCACTCATGAACCCTCTGATTCAATCTCTACAGGACAGCCAGAGAGAGGTCTTAGAAATCCAACCCAATCACGTCCCTACCTTGTTTAAAATCCTTCAATGGGGGCCAAATGTCCTCAAGAAAAAAATTCAAACTCCCAGCTTTGGTGAGAAGGCCCTGCATGATGCTGACCTCCATTCAAGTGTTCAATACCCAGAGCTTTCTCTCCTCAGCGCCGTCAATGTATAGGTTCCTCTACCTGGTACAGCATTCCCACCACTCTGCCTGGATCCTACTACTTGACTTTGCGGCTTCCTATCATTTGTCACAATCTGAAAAGTCTTCCAGTATTATAATATTGCCCCTATTATTCTCTCACAGCAGTGTCTCACCTGTAACCATCGCCCCTAGAAAGACACCCATTTCTTTGTCTACAGCACAGGGCAGGTTTCTAAAAAGAAAACCTTGCAGGGTTATCAGTGATTAGGGATTTAAGTCAGCCCTTCAGTCCTCTGCAGATTACTGGTAAGACTGGCTCTTCCTCAACATTTCCCATGAATTCAAGAGCCATGATTCAAGGGCAGGGCCAGAAGAAGCCCTGAGTCATAAACCCTGATCACATTTGGCTCTTCCCTCCCCGCCAGAGACACCATTCCCAGAAGGAGCCTGTAACTAAGACAATCCTTTATTTTCCCCTAAAAAGTCAATCAAGACTAATTCCAGCAGGCCTACCACCCCTCCTGACCCTAGCTGTTTCCTAGGTTATTCACTGTCACCTTTTATATTTCCTTCCAATGTTTTTTAACAGCCTTTTTACAAAACTGAAACAGCACAGATTCTAAATGTTATGTATCTGACTTTATTTCACTAAACATTATAGCACTGTTTAAAAAATATTTTATAAAAAATATTTAAGGGGCCAGCCCTGTGGTGTAGTGGTTAAGTTCACACGCTCCACTTCAGCGGCCCAGGGTTCATGGGTTTGGATTCCGGGCACGGACCTACACACTACTCATCAAGCCATGCTGTGGTGGTGTCCTACATACGAAATAGAGGAAGACTGGCACAGATGTTAGCTTAGGGACAATCTTCTTTCAGCAAAAAGAAGAAGATTGGCAACAGATGTTAGCTCAGGGCCAATCTTCCTCACCAGAAAAAAAAAAATATTTCAAATGCTGAGCGTTCTGTATCCTAATTGTTGTAGTGGTTATTTGAATCTACATGTTACAAAATTTCATAGTAATATATACCAAAAAAAAAAAAGAGTATATGTGAAAATGGGTGAAATCTGAGTAAGGTTTGTAGTTTATTTAGTTACTACTATTGTGTCAACATCAATTTCCTGGTTTTGACAATGTACTATGATTAGGTAAGATGTTATCATTGGGGAAAGCTAAGTGAAGAGTACACAGGAACTCTGTACTATTTTTGCAACTCCTATTGAGTCTAAATTATTTCAAAATAAAAAGCCAAAAGGAAACAAACCCCCAAACACTGAGGGCTCCTCAAATGGGCCTTCCACAATGTTGGGCAATCTTTGTATGTCTTCCTAATTCATTTTCTTGCTTTTCTTCCCATTCGCTTTCCCTCTTAAAACCTCTATAGTCAGATTTTTGTCCCTAGTCCCCACCAAAACTACTATTTTAAGGTCTCAAATAAGCTCCACGTAGCCAATTACGACAGTTAGTTAATCCTCAATTACTGTCTTACCCATCAGCAGTATTTACGCGGCTGTTTACTTCCTCCTTAAAGCACTATTCTCATTAGGACCCTGGACACCACATCCTCCTGAGTCCTCCTAGCTCACTGCCTATTCCTACTTGTTTTCTCTTGCTGGATCCTCCTCCTCTTCCCAACTAAACGTCAAAGTGCTCCAGGGCTGAGTCATCCAACATCTTTCCTTCTCTGTCAACTTCTACCTCCCTAGGTGATACCCTGTTGTAAGCTCAGCACATGGTAATACCGAACACACACTACATTTTCCAGACAGCCTAGGTTTGATCATGAGACTTGAAACTGACCAGTGGGATTTGAATGGAAATGAGAGAAGGAACATGCTCTCCCACTCCCACTCCCACTCTTCAATTCTGCTGCTTGGAAGGTGGACCCGTGGTGACTCCTCACACACCATATGGACGAAGGCTATACTCTCATCCTC